AAGAGCAGCAATAATCTTATATGGTGTACTCAACATGTGGCTAAACTTCGCCCTCCAATTGTCACATATCTGTTCCCGCAAGAGGGTCTCCACGCGAATGAAACGGGCCCGATTCTGTGGAGCTAACAAGGCTAGGTACTCCTGAAACTTGCTGTGCACACCGCGCATCAAACGACTGCAGAACCGATCGGCACCCCCACACACGAGCTCTATGAGGCGCCGCCCTTTCATGAAACAGCCCTGGGATTGCTTCCGATACTGAGACAAGTTCGCCTGATTGTACACCCCCCCAGTAAACAGCAAGTGTTCATGACATCTGCAGCCTTCAGCCCATGTGCCGCACTTGCCGATGATAGACGTGATGCTTACCAGCACCCACGTAAAACCTAAAAGATGATCGAATTTCAGCGCCGCATCAACAGAGTTCAAAATCTTGGGGTCGACGCCACCGCCATCGTCGTTGAGACCCGATCTCATTTTGGCAACGTTAAAATACTTATTAAGCAAGGGGTATGCGTGAATCAAATCTTTGGAGAACCGCTCGATGTATTGCCACTTCCACCCGAAAGTCTTGCCACTCTTGAAACCGCGCACCAAAGCCGCCGTTGGACCTCCCATCGGGACGCATACGGCGCAGAAGCGCTTCACGAGGTCGGGGGTGCCTGTGAACAGAGCAAAGGCCTGAGAGATCAAAGGGCTTCGGTGGCGCCGAACTAAGGAGGCCCCGAGTCGGGGCCCCGAACCTGCGGGGGGCGGGTGCGGGGAGGACAGTCATTGGCCATAGGCTAGGAGGGCGGGTGATGCACGCTGCAAGGGGGAGGGAGGGGGGTGGGGGGTACTTTAGGGGTAGGGGGGGAAATGGGGGGAGGGGTGTGTGGGGTTGTGGGGGGGTGGTGGTGGTGGTGGGTGGTGGTGGGGGGGAAGGGGTGGGGGGGGGGGGGGGGGGGGGGGGGGGGGGGGGGGGGGGGGGGGGGGGGGGTACCTGGCCCCCCCCCCCCCCCCCCCGCCCCATGTCTGACCCTCGAAGCCTGGTAATTTTTCTCACAACATCCCAATCGGGCAAGTTGCAGACACTCTCCCTCCAACGGTTGTACAACACGAGGTCCACGTCAAAAAAAAAAAAAAAAAAAAAAAAAATAAAAAAAAAAAACAAAACTACGAAAAAACAAATACAAAACAGGCACACGAAGACACAATGGAAGAAAAAATATGGGAAAAAAAAAAAATATGCGGCATCCGTTTCTGCGGTCGAGCTCTGCCGCTCACCCTTTTTGACGGCCTCCATGGAATCTCGAACCTTTTGCGAGAGATCGGTAACCAGGAGAGGGCAATCGGCAACTTCAGCATCTGCCCCCTGGTCGCTCGACCACGACCGCACCTGATATCTCACCTGCACTTCCCTGCCAATGAATTGGCGGCGGCGTCTTACGGGGGGGGGGTGGGGGTGGGGGGAACGGCGACAGGGAAGGCGCGCCACGCACAATTGGAGCTGAGCCGCCAGACGTGAGCAGCAGACGGAGGAGGGAGGCGGGAGGAGGATGGAGGAGCTAGGAGGGGTAGTTTCAGAGGACCCCCAGAAGGTCGGAGGAGGGACGGGGCGCGTAAGGGGGAGAAGGGCGAGGGGATATGAGAGGAGAATACGAAGGCCGAAGGGGAAGGAGGGGAGGGGATGGGAGGAGGATGAGGGATGGGAGCAGGCATGGGCTGGGGCGGCTTGGCAATCCACTGGCCACTGACTGGCTCAGCCCGCCGCCGCACCCCCAGGAGGAGCGCAGCCCAGCAGGAAGATGACGAGGAGAAGGATGGGATGGCGAGGAGGCGGCGGAGGTGGGGGAGGGGGGCAGCTGCCCGATCTCTCGACCCTCTCTCACTCTCACTCTATCTCTCTCTCTCTCTCTCTCTCTCTCTCTCTCTCTCTCTCCCTCTCTCTCTCTCTCTCTCCCTCTCTCCCTCGCACTGTCTCGCCAGCGCCGCCTCCCCCGTGCGCCGCGCGCCCAGCTCGTGGCCGAGATCGGGGTCGCGATGGCCATCTATCGGGTCTGCATGTGCGACGGGGAGACAGCTCTTGATTCACCTGCCTCTCAGCACCTCTGCATATTTTCACGAGAGGGTATCGCGAAAGGGCATCACGGGAGGGCAATTGTCATTCTCTATCACCATATCGTCTCTTCCCTCTATCGCTCAGCATGTGGATATATGCGCGTAGTCCGAGAAGCAGGCCCGTCTATGGGGGGGGGGGGGGGTCTGGCGCACCATGCCCCTCCCAGAACCTCCCCGCGAGTCGCCCGCGAGCCGCGAGCCCCCCAGTCGCTGGGGTTGCGCCGTCGCGAGGCAGGCCCAATTACGAGCAAAGGGGGAATGTCACCAGTCACCAGCCAGTGGGGGAGAGAGAGAGAGAGAGAGAGAGAGAGAGAGAGAGAGAGAGAGAGAGAGAGAGAGAGAGAGATGCAACCATAATATCACATGGCGTCGGCACGTGGCAACGACCTGCATACACCATCTCATCCACATATTCCGCCCCCCTCTGTCGAATCGCTACCCCTGTTCGTCGCCGCAAACGCTTATGTCTTCTGGCACGGGCCCGCTCCCCATGAACCCACGCCCCCGAGAACCTTATGAAATACTTCCAACGAGCCGCACTCCAACAAGATAGCGTGCTGAGTGTTCGCGCTCTTGTGGAGCGCACTGCAGCACCCGCACCCCAGAGTAGTTAAGGGAAGGTGTCTACTGATACCTGTTCCAGTGGTGCTCGCAATCTTATCCCCGTCACACACCGTCGGCTTCCATGACGCCCTGTCCTCGAGCAGCGGATAAAAATTATAAGGTGGTTGAGGGCTGCTGTCGCCTTGCCAGTGCCTGCTGAAACAAAGACGGCGGGCGAGCTCGCGCTGGTACAAGATCTCCAACACGCCCACTCGGGACCCGATTTTATACCTGAGCTGCGGAGGCATGTTCGTCTTCAGGTCGGCCAACACGCCACGCAGCACGCCGTCATCTGGAATAGCCATTCTGCAACGCAACTCAGTGACCTCATGCAGTGGGGTCAAGCCCTCGTTCTTCATATACTGTGCGAACAAGAACGTGCGGAGTTGGGTCTCAGGCTGAACGCCGCGTTTTATCGAGCGGCAGCGGGTGGACCCCAAACAGAACGCAAGCCGGGTTGCCCCCCCCCCCCCTTCCCCCCCCCACCCACCCCACCCACCGCCCACCCACCTGCGCCACCTTCAGCACCCCGCCCCAATTCCCCCCACTACACCCCCTACCCACCCCGCGCCCACCACACCGCCCACCCAACCAAGAAAAAACATAAAAAAGAAAGCACACGCGCGATACGCGGCGCAATCATGAATATCACGGGGGCGCCAACCACGAGGCCCCGCGAGAATTAATCGCGGAGCGACGCCCGCGAAACACCGAAACGACCGTCACCGCGTTGCGCCCGCCATCGGGCGTCAACCTCGGGGCGCAATCCAGATTCCCGATACTGCGCAAACCATGCGGCGCCACACGGAGCGACACCACCTCACGCATCATCATCCGCCTCGGGTACCAGCGCGGCGCGGTCGCGCGGCCCATTGTGAGGGGGCAGGGCTTCTGCGTGCAAACACTGTTTGGGGAATGGCGAAACCCGATAGGGCCCGTGCCAGAAGCAAGCCCGCTCCCCTTCCCCGTCCTCGCTGGCTTCTCTCCCATGCTCTGCCCCTCTCTCTCGCAGTAGCGGCGGGGGGGGGGCGGGAGGCGGGGGGGTGGGGGGGGAGAGGGGGGGGGCAGCGACTCCTTCCAAATGAAGTCCCCCTTCAAGAAGCCGTGGGACTTCTTGTTCTTCTTCTCGAGCGCCACGGCCGATGAGCTCGGGCCCAACTTCTCGGCGAGAGAGGGTGGCGGGGGGATGCGTGGGAGGTGGGGGGGGGTGGGCAAGCGGCAGGAGGGTGATCTGGAGGAGGACAAGAGACGGCATGACAAGGAAGAAGGATAGGAGGAGCAGGATGTCGCCTGAGGAGGAGGAGGAGGAGAGGGTGGGGGAGGAAGGCTCGGAGGAGGAGGAGGAGGAGGACTGAATGAGGAGTTGCTGGGCGGAGAGCGGCCGCTGCGGTGGTGAGACGATTAGACGACGATGAACGACGCAGACGTCGGCGATGCGACGACGACGACGAGGGTCGGCGACGACGACGTGCGCACGACGTGCCACGGACGACGGACGCGCGCGACGAGCACCACGAATCACGAAGAGCGCCTTCGACGACGACCGACGACGACCGACCGACGACCAACGACCGACAAACGACGTCGACGTCGACGTCGACGTCGACGTCGACCGACGACGGCGACGACGACGACGACGACTCGACGGCGACGACGACGGCGACAACACAGACGGCCGCGGCGGCGACGGCGACGGCGGCGGCGGCGACGACGCGCGGCGGCGGCAGCGACACAGACGGCGGCGGTGGCCGCCCTCAGACTTCATCATCCTCCTCCGCTCCTCCGTTTCCCCTTTCATCATCTTCCCCATCCTCGACTCACCCCCCTCCCCCTCCACGCCGCGCAACTCCCCCAGGAGCGGCAGCAGTCCTGAAGGAGGCAGACCGCCGCTGAGCCGCGCGGCGGGAGGACGCCCGCCCGCCGCGCGTGCTCGCGGCCTGTCAGCGCGAAGCGCTGGCCGGCCAGGATCTTCTCGCACAGCGCGGCGGGCAACCGAAAAGCCTCCCGCTCCGCGGGTCGGGCGGCCGGAGGCGGGGGGGGAGGCGCCTGGGGTTAGGGGCGGAGAGCGCGGGGGACGATGGAGGGACGAAGGGCGGAAGAGGGAGGTTCGGGGTGGGAGGGGCGGCGGGGCGGAGAAAAGGATGGGGAGAGGACGTCGCGACGACGGAGGCGACGAGGAGGAGATTGGGGCGAGGACGACGACTCGACGACCGACGACCGACGAGGAGGAAGACCTGCGGCCTGCTGCCACAAGCATAGCCGAGGCTGGCCAGTGCATCTGCACCAATCGTGGGCACATCCAAGTTGCACACTTGGAGCCACGACTTCGCGCTGTCGGTCGGGATCGTCTTCGGACTCCCGTCGACCGCGGCGAAGCGTGAAATGCGCCAGCACAGCGGCTCGGCGTCGGAGGTCAACCCCTGCGCCTCTGTGCGCGCACTGCGCACTGCGCACCTCCTCCTCCCTCCTCCGAGGCCCGAGGCCGCCGAGGCCCTCAGCCTTCCTCCTCGTCCTCCTCCTCCTCCTCCTCCTCCTCCTCCCCCTCCTCCTCCTCCTCCCCCCTCTCCTCCTCCTACCTCCTCCTACCTGCCTGCATCTGTGCGCGCACCTCTGGGTGCGAGCACGTGGCGGGGTCCACGGAGTCGCAGGCCGCGAGCTCCATGACCCCCCACGCGCGCACCGTCGTGGACGAGGCAGCGGCGCGACTCGCGCCGCTGCCCGCCCACTTGGAGGCGTCCAGCGACACCAGGAGGAAGCTGCGAGGAAGGAGGTTGCCCTCCTTCTTCCTCGCAGCTCCCGTCTTCTTGTGCCTGCCAGGGCCGACGTCTTCGACGTGCGGGAGCATGGTCGAAGAGGCGGGGGGCGTGCGGACGGGGGTACTACTCTCTTGTGTGACTTCGCTCGACTACACAAATACGACAACGACAACGACGTCGACGACGGACAACGGACGGAGGACGACGGACGACTACGACGTCGGCGTCGACGACCCGACGACTCGACGACTCGAGGACGGCGAGGCGGTCGAGGAGGACGGTGGTGAGGGACGACGGCGACGGACGACGACGACTCCGACGACGGACGACGGCGACGCACGTGCGACGTACGACGTACGACGTAAACGGACGACGGACGAGTACGCGAGCACCACGACGACGACGGCGACAACGACGACGACAACGACGAACGATGAACGCCACGACGACGATCACCACGACGATCGACGACGACGACGACGACGACGACGGCGACGACGACGACGACGACGACGACGACGACGGCGACGGCGACGTCGGCGACGACGGCGGCGGCGGCGGCGACGACGACGAACGACGAACGCCTCCTTCCTGCCTCTCTCCTCCATCCTCCCTCCCCTGGACTCTTGGACTCCGAATGCCGCCCCCGCGGCCCGCGGCTCGTCGCGGCTCGTCCATCATGCCTCCTCCCTCCTCCTTCCTCCTCCTCCTCCCTCCTCCCTCCTCCTCGTCCACCCTCCCTCACCCCTCCTCGTCCATCCCTCCTGCCTCCTCCTCGTCCATCCTCCTTCCTCACTCCTTCCCCCTCCTCGGAGCCTCCTCCCCCCCCACCTCCGCCCGCACTTCCCCGCCCCGTCTCGCGGCGCCGCCGCGGCGGCGGCGCCGCTGGGCGCCGCCGCGGCCGGCGGCCGCCGCCGTGGCCCGCGCGGCCCGCGCGGAGCCGCGGAGGGCGGAGGCCCTCAGCCACAATGGCTGAGCGGCGCAGCACGCGCGCACGCGCGCGCGCCGCACCCAACCCCCCCGAAAACATTTCCGAAACCACCGCCCTCTCGAAACCGCACTCCCCTTCCACCGCACCCCTACAACCCACCGCACCAAAAAAACTGAAAATGGCTGTAGCATGTAATAAAAAACTGCAACATGTTAAAAAGAAGGTGTTTCTAAAAATCTACGAGTTGTAATCCTCCTCCTCCTCCTCCTCTTCCTCCTCCTCCTCATCCTCCTCCTCCTCCTCCTCCTCCCCCTCCTCCCCCTCCCCCTCCCCCTCCTCCTCCTCCTCCTCCTCCTCCTCCGCCTCTTCCTCCTTCTCCTTCTCCCCCTCCTCCCCTAACCGAAAATGCGGCCCTAACCGAACATAACCTATGAAAATGCGGCCCTAACCTACAACATGCGGCCCTCCTGTACAATTACTAAGTATGAATACTGCTCTCCTCTTGCCCCTACCTCCTCCTCCAGCCGTTCGTTTTACCTCCTGTTCACCGCCTACCACCCCTCGAAAACAGGTTTCTCACAGATGCACCATTCTCGGAACGCTTGCAGATCCATTGGTTCCACCCCATGTTCTGTTTGCTCGGCGGCCCTCTTAATCTCAGCATCGGCAGCAACGCGTGCCCGATGCAACAGCACCTGCACGACAGGAGCAGGAACAACTCCCACAAGGGTCAGGCACCGAGGCCAAGCCTAATACACATCAAGATTACGAAGAAAATGCGACCGCGACAATGATGTAACCTCATGCCCGTGAAAATAAACACTAGGGGATAATAAAGTTCGGGGTTCAGGGAGAGATAATAAAAGTAGCCCAGCAGACCTCAGCATAATCTCGAAGTAAGAGATGATCAAGAGGAGACCAAGCCGAGCACGTTTTGAGACATCCTTGGCGGAGGAGGAGAAGGACGAAGAGAAGAAAAAAACTCGAGTTTCAAATATATTAGATTTTATTTACAAGCGCTTTATGAAAATTGTTTTTTGTAAGTGCTCGTGTAGGGTAGCTCATGTGCCTCAATTTCAATGGATAATCAACACCAGAGATAAACAAGTTCAGGCGAGCGTGGGGACCGAGAGGAATATAAAATAATAATAATACAGTAGAATAATAATAAGAAAGAAGAAGAGGAGAATAAGAAGAGGACGAAGAAAGGAAAAATCCAAAGTTCCAAATCTATCAATTTTAATTTACAAGCGCTTTATGAAAATTGCTTTTTTAAGTGCTCGTGTAGGGTAGCTCATGTGCTTAATTTTCCATGGATAATCAACCCCAGGGATAAAAAAGTTCAGGCGACCGTGAGGACATATAGAAATATAAAAGAAGAAGGGGAACGTAGAAGAATAATAAGAAGAGAAGAAGAAGAGAAGAAGAAGAAGAGAAGAAGAACGGAAACGTGGAAAGTTCCAAATCTCGCTTCGCTTGATGTTGCTATATCAACATCGCTTGATGTTGCTATCTCAACATAGCGTTTCGAGGTGATAATGAAGTTCGGCCTCAGCGCTCGCCGCCCAATTTGAATTTTGTATAGGGCGACGATAATCAACTCTAAACACTGAAGGGGGGGTCCCTTTATTATCATCGGCATGCGGTTAATACGATTGGCTGCTCCACCCCAAAACCTTCAAGGATCTTGGTATACGGAGGTCTTCGACAACTGCAGAAACTGTTTGCCACCAAACTCCTAGTTGCGAAACCCGAGGGAACTTTGGAGGCCCTGAGTGTCGGAGGCTCTTGTTCGTGATGCGGAGGTCCACGGAGCGCCCGGGATACTTCTGATAATCCTCTGGAGCCACCTGGGAAACCTTCAACAACTCGTCCTCGCATGCGCGAGCAGAACGCTTCCAGCTTGCATCGACGGTCGCGCATTGGTCGACCTGCATGCTCTAACGTCTCCAACGGTCAATGTCAGGAGGAATGCGCGCAACCAGCAAGCACTTCAGCAGGAAACCTCCGAGGCACCTGTGCAACTTGGACAGTCGGATCTGCTGGCAGGGCCTTGAGTCGCAGCTGAAATGGTTAGTGTGGAGACGTAGCGATGTCGGTGCGTACATCCACAACACACTCACGTGATAACGAAAAGCTGACCACAAGATTATCGATGGTGCCATCCGCTGGTCGGCAACTACCGCGATATGGATAAGAACAAACACTCATGCATCAACAACTGCAGGCCAACCGCTAGATCAACTGGCCTGGCTCAATATGCCAACCTGCCGCAGCGATACAAAAAAGGTAATCCAACCTGCTTCAGAAAACTTTTAACCTTGGGACATGATACCCCAATTGAAGGCCCCAAGACCAGACGAGTGCAGAATATAACTATTGACGAAAACGAAACCTCCTCGGACGCATCCTCCAACATGATGTGCAGTGGCCCTGCCAGGCTATATCACAGTGTCGAAGCCCTGGAAACCCGAGAGACCGATGTGCTTCGGAACAAGCGTGGCAAGACCCTCAGCCAGGCCCCCAATACTTTTGCGAGCCCCAGGGAACCCACCAGACCCTGTTAGGCATAGGCCCTCAAGAAGAAGTACCCTCAGGACCTGTGTGCTGCGATGGCCGCGGCCGTTGCTGAGCATGTGCGTGAAACGTGGGCTTCCAGAGTACGTGATGCAAGTGAGATTGATGCTCGGAGCTACCTGACGAACTGAGCTGTTTTTTGCAGGCTCACGACCCCTGTGCTGCTAATGATGACGCTTCCGAATGCAATGTTGCCACACCCACGTGTCACAAGCCAAGGGACACCAAAATTTGACAAGCCGTGCCCCTGGTGACAGTGGGTCCAAATAGTGGCTCGGGACCCTACGATCCCGATTTGGAGGAAGCCATCCTGTGGGCCTTGTAGGCCTCAGGACAGTCCTGAGACCTGTCTGCTCTCCCTGAGCTCAGACAGGCGATCTAGCGAAGACGAGAAAACAAGCGCGTTTCCGTCGAGCTCTCCGCCAAGCAGTCCCTACAAGGGGACTGTTCGCGAGAGCTGCCAGGCCGGCAACGCGTTCCACGACTCGCAAAACAACTACTCGCAAATGGCCTGGATCCGCCACGGGGGATCTACGATCAGTACATGTTTCTTTCCATCTTCCTTCCCTCTCTCCAAAATAGTTGCGCTGGAAAACCAAATCCAATACATATGGGAAACCATGTTGTTTTCCCGGGCGCTTGCGCGTAGGCACCCTGCGAGCAGTGGAGCGCACCCGGTGAGGAATGAGAGGGGCCTCCTCCTTCTCCTCCTCCTCCTCCTTCTCCTCCTCCCCCCGACCGCACGTTGCGCCAAAGTGTCTTCCAGCTCGGGGCCTCCAGCCTGCCCGCTCCCCCCCCCGCTGGGTCTCCTCCCCTTTTGCCCCCCCCCCCCCCCCCCCCCCCCCCCCCCGCACCCCCCCCCCTGTGCCGCTGGCCCAGGCCATGGGGCGACTGTCCGCAAGCTGTTTCCACCGAGCGTGAATTACGAATCGTACGTTTAGGCTCAGGACTGTCGGCTGACGATCGTACGTTCAACTGGTGCTGCTGAACGTAAATTGCGCATCATACGTGTAGGCTTGAATTCAGGCTGACGCTGCTGCACCGTGAGTTGCGCGTAGTGCGCGTAGGCTTAGTAGCTTTGCTTCGCGTGCTAGAACTCAGGCTGACGATGGGGCCTCATTCCGATCCGATCCGATCCCTCCCCTGACCGACCTCAACGCGCCGTGCCACAACATTGCGGCATACGTTGCTGCGCAATTTTCTGCCTCTGGGCGGCTTCTCCTTCTTCGCCTCCCTCCCCTGGCCACCTCGCGCCGTGCCAATAATACGGCGGGAGTTGTTTGTAGCACTGTCGGCCTCTGGCAGGCCCGTCCCTGGGGAGGGGTCCAGGCCCCTGGGGAGCCGCGTCGTGACAAACATCACGACGTCGGATGTCTGGGCCCGCTGGGCTCCAGCGAGGGAGGTGGGCGGAGGAGGGTTGGAGGCAGAGGGGGAGGGGGGAGGTGGGGCAGTAGGGGAGGACGAGGACGACGAGGGGGAGGACGGGGTTGGTGAGCAGGGAGGATCGAGGATCGGCGATCGAGGCTTTCGGGCATTCGGCTTTCCTTGGGGCCTCAGACAGCCTCATCCTGCTTCCCATGC